CGGCCTCAAATTTCGAGGCCTGTTAGTGGGCCCTGGGGCCATCAAACATGGATCCGTACAAAGATGTGCCTCCAGAGAAGGGGTCGGCACCAGGGCCGCGCATTCAACAAGCTCTAAGAAAGTCGGGTGTCACGTATGGCTACGGGAAGAATGGGGACGAAAGTTATCAGCCGGCCCTGCCCATTCTGAGCAGGACTCGCTGTCGGTGCCGCTGCGAAGACGTCGCCTACTTGAGGCAAGAATCCGCCTGCTCAAGATCGGCCGCTGCCTGTTTTGGACAGCCTCGATTGTCGACCATCGTGCAGTGGAGACCCATGCCAAGAAACCCTGCTTGCCTCCAGGGTGCCCTGGGTTGCTTGGGTTTCGATGGTTTTTCGATGGAAAGCGTGGCGCTCCCACACCAAAAGTCCATGGAAGTCCTGGGGTCTCAGGGCTGGGTTTCTTGTGGATGGCTTCTTGTGGTCGGGCCCGTCCCAAAAGGCTTTTGAGACGTGCCCGCAGGTGCCTAAGCGGTCCCGGGGGGCACCGAGTTGCCGAGCAAATGTTCCCAGACGCTCCTGATGGCCTCCCAAGTGGCTCAAAGCACCCCCAAAGACGCTCAAAAAGCTTCTGGACGGCCCAAAACGCTTTCGAGACGCTCCACGAGGGTTCCAAGGGGCACCCAAAGAAGACCCCAGGAGGAGGAGGAGGAGGAGGAGGAGGAGGAGGAGGAGGAGGAGGAGGAGGAGGAGGAGGAGGAGGAGGAGGAGGAGGAGGAGGAGGAGGAGGCGGAGGAGGAGGAGGAGGAGGAGGAGGAGGAGGAGGAGGAGGAGGAGGAGGAAGTCGAGAACACGGCCCTGGACCCCCGCCCCGACGGCGACGGCACAGCGGCGTGACCGCCGCTGCGTTGGCTCAAGGCCACATGCAGGACGCGCGCGCGGGGCGCATGCGTGGGCCCGAGGGCCCTGGAGCATTGCGTGGTGCACCGAGGGCACTACGAGCGGGGAAAAGAGGCCCCGCGACTTGGTAGCGGAGCCCTGGTCCACTTCGGGCTAGGGCTCAGCGCTGCCACTGCGCGGCAGTCGGAGGAGTCCGGCTTCAAGCGGGTCATCGAGGTGACCCACGGCGCGGAGGAGGTTTTCATCGAGGTGAAGTCCAGCCCCTCCGCAGACTACGACATCCGCTACGACGGCTTCGGCACTGGACAGCTTCGGTGCGAATAAGCATTATATCACTGGAGTGAGCTTGCTCACAGATTACGTGCATCCGAGAGTTTGGGAGATGGAGCATCTTCATCTCGAGGTTATGGGCAGCCTCAAGGTCCTGCCGGCTTGGAGCCCAGAGCAAGACAGGCAGTACCCCTTTCGATTCTGGCTGACAGATGTGACGATGTGGGCTGCAGCGGCGGCGAGAGAGGTCATGCCCAAGCAACAAGGACCAGCAGTCGCACTACGACTCGGAGGCGCAGCGAGGAGCTTAGCGAGGGAGATTCCACCAGAACAGCTACGAGATGGAACCATCGCAGACCCAGGTGATGGAGCAGGAGCGCGACAACTCACAGGACTGCAACTACTGCTGCTCGTTCTTTCCAGATCATTCGCCCCGCTCGGTGACGAGAACGAGAGCAGGGCAACCTCAGACTTGTTGGGCTTCTACCGCAAGAGCTACGAGAACATAGATCAGACGCTCAGCAGGTTCGAGGTCACACGACGACGAGCAGCAGCGCTTGGAGGATTTCAGATGGGACCTCAGGGCTACGCCTGGATGTTGATGACGGCCCTGGGCTGTAGCCCTGCGGAGTGGAACGAGTTGCTGATCCACTTCAGAGGCCACCTGCCGAGGACGGAGCAGCAGTTCGCGGAGTTGGTAGAATACATTCGACGGTACGGACATGTCCTGGAGAAGGGACCGATGTCGGCGAATCGAAGCAGCAAAGGCAAGGGCCACAGCCAGTTCTTCTTCCCAACGTTCAACTTCGGCGGCGGCGATGGACATCAAGCTGATTCAGCAGATGGCTACACTGGCGGAGGCGCGGCAGCATCGCGGGCCCCCTCGGCTCCCTGGGCGCCTGCTGCTGCAGCACCGCCGGCGCCAGATCCGTGGCAGGCCTACTACGGCAACGAATACGAGGACAACGACACGGACGCCGACGACGACGACGGAGAGGACTTGGACGGCTCGGATTTCCCTGAACAGATCGGCCAAGATGACGCGGTCATCAAACAGTACCTCTACCAGAACTACGTCTTTCACCAGAAGCGCTGGCGACGGTTTACAGGCAGACCTACGAGATTCCACAGGTTTGGAAAAGGCAAAAGTGGTAAGGGATCTCTGATCCCGTTTCGTGGAGGTGGAGCCTTTGGTCAACGCGGACAGGGCAAAGGCTACCACTTCGAAGGAAAAGGGCGACGAAATCCTACTGGACGTGACGGCAAGGTCATGAAGTGCCTCACGAAGGGTTGTGAGAGCGAGTCTCACCTGATTAAAGACTGCCCCCACCGACGAGGAAAAGGGCAAGGAAAAGGCAATTTCGTCACGAATGGACCTCGACCGGTATCAGCAGCCTCGGCAGCGGTGCCATGGTTCGGATTCAACAACACGTCAGCTACAGCGACAGCAGCGACTACAGGCAGCTCGGCCTGCGGTTCTGGATCGGTGAGCTTCTTTGCCACAGAGACACCCAAGAACGACAACGAGCAGAAGGTGAGCGCGAGTATGGAGGGCTCGCACGGTTTCACCGGCGTGGTGATATCGCCAGCGCAGCCAAAGGCCATCGAGGACAAGGCCCCTGAGTGGTTTGGACCGAGACCGATGGTGGAAAGCATGGAGCCCCCAACCACAGGGTCGGCGTTGCCCCCGGGCGAAGGACCCTACTTCCCGATGCTGCCGACCATGGGAACCACCAAGTTCGGGGAGATCACGGACGTGCCATCGAGACCTACGTTTGGAATCGGACATATCTTGGGACTTTCATTGATAGTGGCCCCGAAGGACGAGGACGGAGATAGAGTAACAGAGCCGCATACCGCTGGAATTCCTCTTCCGAAGGCAGCGATGGAAACACCAGCGAAGACGCATCCGATGGTCTCGGAGATACTCGGCATCAAGAAGGCAGACGAGAAGCAGGACCCCCCCTCGATCAACGTAGGCGGCTTGACTTTCAGTCCCGTTCCAGCGAAGATGGTGACCCCCCCGAGCGCGAGCAGCGGAGTTCAGGACTCAGCGGCGAGCTGGGACAAGGTGTCGAGCGTGCCCGAGCAGCAGGTGGATCTGTCATCCTTCGACCTCGACTCCGAGAGCTACTTCCAGCCCGGACATCCTCATGAACGTGAACGCCCAGAACTACTGAGAGGAGCGGGCGAGGTCGCCATTCCAGATGATGACGAACACACCGAGCATGACGGGCAACACGAAGAATCTAGAGAGGACAACGACGGCCAGCAGATCCCGCCGGACAATCACACAGGCGGAGTGGATCTTAGCGATGATCGTGGAGACTTCACTGGAGTTGTCTGGACCTTGGGGGGAAACCGTGAGGACGCCTACCTGGGGCGCGAGCGCGCCCAGCTTGACGGCGGCGAGATGGGCATCCTCGTGGACCCGGGAGCGCACGGCAACCTCGTCGGAGAACGCTGGGCGCGACAACAAGCGGAGAAAGCCTAGCAGTACCAGCGCGACACGGAGAAGACTGAATTGCGAGAGCCCCTGGAGGTTAATGGAGTTGGAAAAGGGCCCGACTACTGCCACCAGCAGTGGAAGATCCCTATCGGTACGCAGGAGATCTACCTGGAGGGCGATGGCAGCGGCAACCTGGACACGTACACGGCACCCATCATTCCTGGAAGCGACGTTTCTGCGCTGTTGGACAACAGTTCTCTAAAGAAGCTCGATGCGATTCAGGAGTGCGGCCCTGGTATACTACATCTATGCGGACCCGGGCGCAGAGAGCTTGTCCTTCCAGCAGGGGCTCGCAGCTACAACCTGAAGGAAAGCAGAAGCGGACATTGGCTACTACCCTGCTCACGATTCAGAGAGGCATCGACCTCCAGCGGCAAGACAGGATACCCTATTGATGGACTGTGCAACTTCACCCCGAGCATTTGGACTTCATGTGGGAGGATTTCCTGGGGGAGATGAGCGGCCTTGGCTTGACGCTCAATGAAATGTCACAGATGTGCGCCGAGTGCAAGCAGCGCGTGCAGAATTAGAGTTGGAATGGATTTCAACATTCGCTGAAGGTTCATGGCAGCTACAAGGAGTGCATTCCGAGCAAGAAGTGGGCCAGCATCAAGGAGATTTTCGGTGACAAGAAGGAGAAGGAGGTGCGTTTCGAGGTGCTGCCGGATCCGGCAGACTCCTTGGGCCTGTGAAGGGGCAGGGTTCCGGCCGCGGCGGCCGGAGCAGCTGCCGAACGCCGTTTGGCGACGCCGCATTATCATTTTCATGCTCATGTTCTTGGCCACCGGTTGGGATTGGCAACTACGACGCGCGCGGCGCGAGAAGGAGGATGGCCCGTGACACAGGTGATGGCCTACGACCAGGTGATAGGCAAGGAAGCGCGAGATCTGAAACGACACCTCACCGAAGGACGCTTCCGGCTACTGTGGGCAGATCTACCGGGGCGTCGAGGAGTTGAGCGAGGACAGCGACCCCGACAGCGCCTGCGACTTCTTGAAGACTGCGTAAGAGCACAGTTGGCCGGGGGCGGAGACGCCATGCTAGTTGCTGAGCGTGGGAGCTCTACGTGGGCGGACCCGACGATCCTGAAGCTTAGGCGAGAGGTCCCCCACGAGGTGGAAGCACATTGGTGTTCTTTCGATGTGCAGTCTCTACCGGACGAGGCAGGAGAACGAGGATGGAGTGATCGAGTAGACCGAATACAGTCCACCTTTACAGTTCGAGCCCAACCATGTCAACGCCAAGGAGAAGGACGTCGGCACAGGAGTGATTGGAGGAGCTCGTCCGGGAACGACGAGCGCCGACGACAGCGAGGCGAACAACATGCACAATACTTGGTGGCGATGTTTCGGGAGATCAACGACGCCCTCTTGTTAGAGGGTAACCGTTCACCACCAGAGTCGAGAACTATGGAAGCGCCTACGGGCGAGAACACGGCAGGCAATGACGAGAACTCCTACCCGACGGAGGCGAGGATGCGCGCGAAGATGAAGTCGCTGACCGACAAACCGAAGGAGGCCAAGAAGCAGAAGTTTGAGATTGAGAACCATTTCGACGACTGCGGAGACAGCATAGAAGGTCTGGCCATGGACGACTCCCTCTTCGCCATCTACGAGGACACGGACATCTACTCGGATGACGACGACGACGTTATTCTGTTCGTGGAGGAGGAGTTCTACGACGGCAACAGTTATGCATCATGCCTGCGGGGAGTTGCCGGAGACGATGGAGCAACCTGGCACGAGGGACCAGCAGTCAGGAAAGCAGCAAGTCTCTCTCACCGCGCGGCCTGCCTGGCGAAGGCGGCCTCCGGCATGGATGTATTGGAGATTTGCGGAGAACGAGGCTACGTATCCAGGATTTGTGTGCGAAGAAAATGCAGAGTGGGACCCGACTTCGACATCGTCTGTGGTGTGGACCTATCGGATCCCAACGAGCAGTGGACGTTGTGGCACTACTTCGAGCGTGGAGTGATGGTTGTTATCATGACACCTCCATGCGCCCCCTACGGACGTTTCTCCAGCGTGAATATGATCAATGCGACGGATAGCTGGAGGGAGAGTCTCGAGCGATGCAGGCCACTGGCCCTGCTATGCGGAGAAGTGGACTGTGCCAGCTGCGGAGAGACCGAGCCTTCATCAATGAGAATCCAGCCGGATCCAAGCTATATCAAGAACCACCGTGGCAAGCAGTCGCTCAGTTTCCTGGAGTTGTGCACGCTATGGTGGATCAGTGTATGGCGGGTCTGCAGAGTGCTCGAGGCATGCCACAACAGAAGAGGACGGAGCTATGGGCATCCCACGAGGCACTACTACGACACGTGGTTGGATTTCAATGCGACGGGAGTCACGTGCATGATACTATTGAAGGACGAGAAGCCACGTCGAGGGCCAGTTTGTGGCCTTTGAGATTCGCGGTGGCTATCGCCCATGGCGTCACGGACTACCTGTCAAAGAAGAGAAACGCAGAAGTTAAGACGCACCTGCAGAACACTACGGCGTATCCCGGGGCAGCGGCAGCAGCACCACTCGAGGAACATGGACCCTGGGTTCCGCCCTGGGATCTGCCAAACCTTCCAGATGCAGCGCCGGAAGGAGGGGGCCGAAGGAGAATATCCAGAATGACAGAGGACGCCGGAGTACCAGCACCTGCACCTGAAGACATTCAAGCACCAGCACCAGGACCACCGGCGGCAGCGATTCGGCCCCCAGATCCGAGGGCGCAGCTACGACGAGTGCGAGAATGGGAATGCCGAGCGTGCAACGGAGCTTATGTTCCACATTCTCGGGTGCCTGGAAAATGTCGGATTGCCGCGCCGGGAGTACGAACGCGGAGATGCAAGCAGTGCCAGCGAGGCAAACCCGAAGACGCACCTGGACATACTCTCGTGGCAGGACAGTGTAGATGGGCAACTGAAGTGGGCCAGAGACCAGCTGGAGGGGGGCGCCGACGAGCGCGAGCAGCTGCCCACGACCCAGCGCCAGGAGCAGCTGAACCAAGACCAGACGGACCGGTGGACGCTGCCGATGTCCCAGACTCGCCAGCGCGACCTGAAGCAGATCAAGGCATGGAGGTGGACTGGTCGAGCTGGGATCTTGGATCCGCCCGGCGGGCGCTGTTCGGCAACGACGAGGCAGTGGCGCGAAGAGTGCTACGTCGACTGCGTCTGAGGTGGTTCCACGCCAACAAGAAGGCCATGAAGCGCATGCTCTCAGCCGGAGGCGTGCCGCCTAAGGTCTTGCAGATGGTCGACGACATCGTGGACACCTGCAGAGTTTGCCGATTGTGGATGAAGAAGGGAACCAGGGCGACCACGACGATCAAGCTGAGTGTACAGTTCAACGACGAGGTGCAGTTGGATCTTCTATTATATGAAAGACGCGTTGTTGGACATCTCATCGACGGTTGTATCAGGTTCACCGTGGCGCGAGAACTCCCAGACAAGACGATCGTGACGCTCTTGGATTTCATATGGGTGAACTGGATACAGGTCTTCGGGCCTATGGCGGTACTGACCGTCGATGGCGAAGGAGCTATGGCATCCGAAGAGGCTGGGGTGGCTCTCGGACGCATGGGAACCACGCGCAAACTGAAGGCCCCAGGACAACATGCGCAAGTGGTTGAACGACATCACGATATACTACGCCGACAGATGCATGTCATAGACGCACATCTCCGAGAGTTCGGCATCAAGCTGCCCTTCGCTCGAAGATTGGCCGAAGCAGTTCTCGCCAAGAACTCTTTCCTGACCATTGGAGAAGGTACGCCATACAAAGCACTTTATGGACGTGTGCCTCTTGTGCTCAGGGACTTCGACAGGAGTGGAGCTCAAGAGTTGGATGATGAAGATGGACTGAAGATGTTCAGGCACTCGCAGAGGCTTCGAGAGATCGTGACCATGTCGATCATCGAGGCCACGGCGCCGGCGAGGACGGAGCGAGCTGCCAAGGCACGAACGGCCCCGGCGACGGAGGATTTGCATTTGGAGATCGGAGACCTCGTGGACTTCCACAAGCCGGGGAAAGCGCCCGAGGACGTGCCGAGCTGGAAGGGACCGGCCAAAGTTGTCTCGGCACAAGCACCAGAGACGGGGACGATCACCATACATTGGCAGGGACGCGACGTGATAGTCAACACTCCTGATGTCAGACGTGCAATACTGTATAGCTATTCCGTATCTTACATGGCGGTGGAGAGCGACCCAGCGCTGATCCTATTGGATCTCGTACATAATATCAGAGAAGGTTGCGAGCATCTTGGCTGGGCGAGCACGTCATCGGGATGGGCCTTGACGAAGATATCTAAGGGCTATCCCATCGTGGTGGCTGCCATGCTTCAAGTCGCCTCTTGTGGGCTACATATCAACGGAGCAGTGGCCGCCCGAGTTGGCAGAAAAGTACCAGCGCTTCCTGGACTTCACGATTTCGAGCACTACACTTTGTGTTGGTGGACTGCGAGGCGTCTGGACAAAGGAGAGTCAGGAGTGGAGGCCATGTGTTATGGTGAAGGATCTGCAGCAGAACATCTCAGCCTTCGATATATCTTCGGCGAGAAGGAATGGGCTTCGTGCTACTTCATGCAGTTCCTGGCTGTGGAGCCTGATGTTCTGGATGTTTCGCAAGGACAGGCCCCGCAGATACCACGCATGGGTGGGCCGCACCTACCAGGAGTTGACGCATGGATGCGCGAGCATCGAGAGATACGGAAAAAGGGCCCGTTCGGAAGGATCGCAAGGCTCGGAGAACCCAGCAGAGCATCTAGCAAGAAGGTTGGAAGACGAACCGCCAGATAGACCAGAGCTACCTCCTGGGCTGCCAACGCCAGCCGAACCTACTCAAGCAGCAGACGATGGCGCCGGCACACCAGCCAGCGGTAGCACGGTTCCAGCGGCGGCAGCGTCGTCGTCAGAAGAGCTGTACAGCCTGGAGGCCGTCTGGGCAATACCGAAGGAGGACTCGGACTTGGCGAGGGACGTAGACGAGAACGACTTCATGGACATGATCGGTTACCTCACGGAAGAGCCAGACGTGTCCGTCCTCGAGCGGAACGAGATTATCCAGGACTACGACGTAATAGAGGCCTGGAACACGCAGAGTACCACACGCGCGAAGGCGACCGACGACATAGTGGAGTCACTACAATCGGAGAAGGTCTTCCAGATAGGATTCGCAGCAGGAGCCTGGAATATGCTAAACGAGCCGACCATCAACGGAGACCCTACGCACGGGGACGATGTGGCTGTGTTAAGTTTCTACGAGGATGGATCCGCCAAGGCCGTGATAGAGAGAGATGACAACCTGCTGACGCCTACCGAGAAGATCGAACACCGAGAAGCAGTTCGAGCGGCACGACTCAAGGAGCTACGGCACTGGGTAGGATTCAAGGCAATGTCGAGGCGACCTCGTAAGCAAGCCAGGAATCGCATCGACGCGAAGTGGGTCGATACATGGAAATGGGTACAAGCAGCAGACGGAACTATGACCAGGATCATACGATGCAGACTTACGGTACGTGGATTCAAAGACAGACACAAGGACGAGGTGAAGACGTTCACCGCGACCAGCACGAGATGGGGCCAGAGAATGGTGAATATTCTTGCGGCGCAGCATCGTTGGAAGCTATGTAGTGCGGACATCTCGTCGGCTTTCCTGCAGGGAAAGACTTTCGAGGAGGTTGCGAAGCTGCTCAACGAACCGATTAGAGATATTTGCTTTGAGTTGCCGAGGGGCACAGCCGAGCTGTTATGTGAAGTGGAAGGCTTCGAGGGTTTCAACTCGATTTTGGAGGTCCTGCATATGGAGAAAGGAGGATTTTGGTCTCAATGACGCCCCGAGGTTATTCGGACTTCGACGTGATCAAGTTCTGTTGTCGAGTGGGCTTAGACCAACACATGCAGACCCTCAACTCTGGCTGAAGCACATCCAGGGGGTTTTGATGATGGTTGTTTTTCACATCTAGACGATTTGAAGTACGCGGGGACCGACAAGGCGACCGGCGAGATGATTGCATCACTGGAGGCAGTTTTCGGCAAGATGACTATGAGTGAGAGCAATTTCGTGCACTGTGGCTTGCGCCACAGACAGCTGGAGGATATGAACATCGAGGTTGACCAGACTGAGTATATCAAGAATTTGAATTGTATCGACGAAAAGGAACTGCAAGGCCGGGGAGACGACGATCCACCGGAGAAGCACGTGAAGCTCTACCCATCTTTGCTTGGAGCTATCGCGTGGTGTATCATGACGAGGATTGACATATGTATTTATGTCGCAGCACTCCAACGACACGGCAAGGCACCGAAGGTTGGACATATTAGGTAGATGAACGTGCTGCTCAAGTATATGAAGGAGAATCCTCTGGTTTTGACGGCACAGAGGTTGACTCCCCCTGTGAAGCTGATGGCCGTTGGAGATGCGGCCTTTCGGAGAGAACCTGATGACAAGGGTTTGGCTATGCGTGGAGCTGTTTATTTATTGATCGAGACGAAGCAGGAGCTTGGAGGCAGATGCAATGTTTTGGAGTAGTATTCACGGAAACAAGCTCATGTGGTGCGATCCACTTGGGGAGCAGAGTTATGTCAGCTATCAGATTGCTGTGATTATCATCAGACCTACCGGTGTGATCTCGCACTGCTTTGTTTCGACCGACCGTGTGCCCATAATGCGGTCGTGCTGGTGGTTGTGCTGGCGGCCGTGCTGGTGGTCGTGGTTGGTGGACGTGCTGGTGGTCGTGCTGGTGGTCGTGCTGCTGGCCGTTCTGGTGGAGGTGCTGGCAGTCGTGCTGGTGGTCGTGCTGGTACTTGTGCTGGTAGTCGTGCTGGGAAGTGCTGGTGGTCGAGCTGGCGGTCGTGCTGCTGGCTGGTCGTGCTGGTGGTCGTGCTGGTGGTCGTGCTGGGCTGGTGGTCGTGCTGGTGGTCGTGCTGGCGGTTGTGCTGGTGGTCGTGCTGGTGGCTGGTCGCGTTGGTGGTTGTGCTGGTGATCGTGCTGGCGGTCGTGTTGGTGGCCGTTCTGGTGGAGGTGCTGGTGATCGTGCTGGTGGTCGTGCTGGTGGTCGTGCTGGTGGTTGTGCTGGTGGTCGTGCTGGTGGCTGGCCGTGCTGGAGGTGCTGGTGGTCGTGTTGGTGGTCGTGCTTGGTCGTGCTGGTGGCTGGCCGTGCTGGAGGTGCTGGTGGCTGGTCGTGCTGGTGGTCGTGCTGGTGGTCGTGCTGGTGGTCGTGCTGGTGCTTGTGCTGGTGGTCGTGCTGGCGGTCGTGTTGGTGGCCGTTCTGGTGGAGGTGCTGGTGGTCGTGCTGGTGATCGTGCTGGTGGTCGTGCTGGTGGTTGTGCTGGTGGTCGTGCTGGTGGCTGGGCGTGCCGGTGCTTGTGCTGGTGGTCGTGCTGGCGGTCGTGTTGGTGGCCGTTCTGGTGGAGGTGCTGGTGGTCGTGCTGGTGGTCGTGCTGGTGGTTCTGCTGGTGGTCGTGCTGGTGGCTGGCCGTGCTGGAGGTGCTGGTGGTCGTGTTGGTGGTCGTGCTGGTGGTCGTGCTCGCGGTCGTGTTGCTGGCCGTTCTGGTGGAGGTGCTGGTGGTCGTGCTGGTGGTCGTGCTGGCCCCTCCCCCTCCCCCCCTGCGCCCCCGTCCCCTTATTCCGACCGACCGTGGGCCACCCCCCCCCGCTCCTCCCCTGCGCCCCCCTCCCCTTATTTCGACCGACCGTGGGCCACCCCCTCCGCTCCCCCCTTG